AGCGCGGGGGAGATTCTAAAAACTCAGCTTCTACACACGAACGCAAACACTGCAGCGTGCGGCAATGACATGCGATGCAAGGTCAACACGGACGCAATTACCGGGCGATGCAGAGCTTTGCTGAACACACGCGCGCGCGCCTGCTACCGCCGTAAAACCCCTCTCTCCCCCAATAACACACACAAAAACAAAATACAAAAAAGAACAATACAAAAAAATTAAATAAAATAAAACATATAATAAACAGTAAAGTATTTCGCGTGTAAATGATTAACTACGGCAGCGCCATCTATAACCACCGCTAGCGAGTTCCACGCTTCTCGCACGGCGACATGTAAATCTCAGTTCTTACAAAGACGCTGCGGAGAGGGATGCGGGCGTCTGCGCAAGCATGATAGCGTGATGAAGATCGCGGTTAATAGTGGCGTTAACTCACGCGTCCCACCGAGTGTGTATCTGTTACGACGCTGCAGCTGCAGCTCACAGACACTGTATTTAGGGTCATGCTATCCCCCGGGCGTGGAGGGACACCGCAACATGGCAGCACTAGTATTAAGATTAAGATTATTAGTTAGGGTTAGGGGGTTAGTATTAGGTTAGGGTTAGGGTTAGAGTTAGGGTTAGAGTTTTTGCATCATGATATCTGTCCCCACACCATAGATTAATTTTTGTGGATCACAGCACCTATATATAGCTATATAATAATATATATGTTAGGGTTATCGTTGGAGGTGTTGGAGTTAGTGTTACCAGATGAGTAATGCTTTTAAAGTATACGTCAACTGTATCACGCGACCGTCCCTCCACGCCCGGGGGATAGCAACACCCCTTTATTTATGTGTCAGTGTGCGGCAGCGTGCGTGCGGTGTACATATGTGTTGCAGAGGAGCATTTGCACGGGATTTACAGGAAATTGTCGGCAATAATAGGCGAAAGAGAGTAGAGAAACGTTAAGACCGTGGTAGGAAATAGATTTCGTATTTATTTAGCATTATATATTTTATTGAAACGCTTCATGTGCCTGTGCTGCAGCTGGCTATAGCTGTGATGGCTATTTTGTGAACGCCGCGGCAAGTTTGTGTTTGATGGGGTGAGAGACCGAGAGAGGGCGGGGTGGGTGCAAGGCTGCGGATCTTCTGTTGTTGATCGAGTTGTCGTCGCAGCAGCCAAGCGGCAGCGTTGTTGTTGCTGCTGCTGCTGCTGCTGCTGCTGCTGCTGATGATGATAATGATGCTGAGATTGTTTACCGTGAAGCTGCTTAAAGAATATCCCGCGCGCGTGCGTGCGTACGTGCGTGCGTGCATCCGTGCGTGCGTATTAGTGTTACATGTTGAATGTAAAAAGATAGAAGGTACGGCACGTTACACGTCACACAGCGTTATATGTTCGATGCAACATCATCGATGTAACGTCATGTTATATGGCGTGTATTTTCATTATATATCATTGCATGGCGTGTCGTTACATGCCACACACCGCTACACGGCGTTTCGTTTCGTGCAACATCATTACATTGCGTGTGGTTACATGCCACGCACCGTTGCGTGGCGTTTCGTTTCATGCCGCATCATTACATGGTGTGTCGCTACATGCCACACACCATTACGTGGCGTTTCGTTTCATGCCGCATCATTACATGGTGTGTCGCTACATGCCACACACCATTACGTGGCGTTTCGTTTCATGCCGCATCATTACATGGTGTGTCGTTACACGCCACACACCTTTACGTGGCGTTTCGTTTCATGCCGCATCATTACATGGTGTGTCGTTACACGCCACACACCTTTACGTGGCGTTTCGTTT